TTTTTTTATTGTAACTAAACGAATTTATTTATAATTTTTTTCTTTCCAAAAAAATAATAATGAGAAAAACTTTTAAGAATTTGTGCCAAAAATATCAATACTTTATGCTTCTTACTTATAAATTCCGTCTTATTATTAAATAAAATTAAACGAAAATACATACATAATAATTATGTACAGAAATTTGTTTAAAATGTTTTCTTACTTTTTTATTTGTTTTGCGTTTTTGTCGGTAAATACTATCTTAACAATTTATTCCTACCATACCTACATTTAGTCATTTTTGTTTAACAATATATACAGTCCTTTTGATATATGTACGTCCATACAGCCACGCAAGTATTACAGAGAAGATATTGACTACTGCACTCCACAGAAATTTCGGTTATACAACCTTCGAAAACTGTGCAGCGAAGGAATACTACTCCCGGAGAACTCTTTCTGTTTACACTGACCTTTTCCAAAAAAAGGGGAAAGAGTGGGAAACGGCATTTTCATCCTTGAATTTGGGATCAGGATAAGTTTTAGAATACAGAATGAATGTAGTCCTATGCAGGCTAAAATATCAGCCATAATAAGAGCAAATTATACCGATGGCCAAACTGCTATCAAATCTCTGATTGGTGTATAAATTACATCCATGCTAGTCCAGGAATACTGGGCTTCCTTAAATAGAATAGCGAGACATTCAATAGACGTGATCAAATGGGTACGTACGGTAATTTGATTGGTAACTGTGTGGCTGATGAATTAGCGCAAATAGACGCCTCAATGTCCGTTAGGAACATAGATATCTTTTGTAACATTCCGTTAAAAACATGCAAACAACAACTGGATAAAAAAAATTTATGAAGACAATATGGCACAACGAGCCAACTTGCACTATTGCCAGAATGATATGACCAAATTTAGATAGTAAATGCACGCCATATCTCCTTCAATTTTGTCGTCTTAATCTCAGCAATCTAGCTGCTGTCATCGCAGGACACTGTTTATTTGGGAACCATGTAAGAAACTTGGCCTACCCTACGACTTCTGCAGGTGCCAGGACGACGAAGAATCCGTAGAACATCATCTCTCCCATTGCCTGCTTTAGCAGACATTTGCTTCGATATTCGAATTTTCGACGACCAGTCAGAAATCTCCAGTAACAATTAATTCTTAACTCACACAGCACTAACCAATGGTACTTATATTATGTTAAATTAACTGATGCACCAAAGGCAATTTAAAAAAGGAATACGTAAAACATCGAAGAAAATTTTTAAGTGATTAATTTTTACAAAAAATTTACAAATAAAAAATCGAAAAATATCCAAAATTCTGCATAAAATTATCTTCTTTAACGGTGGTAGTTACAATTATAAACAATTCTCAATTTCACTTTAGAACCGGAAGTAATTTTGAATATAGCCCCTTGATAATCGTTTTATCAACAAAATATTTACATGATCTATATCACGGTAAACATACAGCATAGAAATATCTCGATTATAACCAAATCCAATTAGAATCTTGTGTACGCTTATGAAAATACCGAAATTTTTTCTATTACATGCCAGAAACTGTCTTATTTAACCCTAATACCTTCTTATAACATCATTAGACATGGTGGTCAAAATCTTTCTATATTTACAAAAACACACAATTTAAATGTAAAAAAATTTACACATATACTATTTTTTTATTATAAAACTATAGTTTTATTAAACACCATTACTAATTTACTTCTTCTTGGCATTTTCTTCTTCATTTTCAGCGTTTTCACGGGCTTGCTTGGCACGGATGCCAACAAGACGAGCATCAGAACGAGCCTAAATAGAAAAAAGTAAACAAAAATTAATGAAATTGTCCCAACATTTAGTTTAAAGAAAAATAGTAATATGTTAAAAAAAAGCAGGGCCATCCATACCTTGCGCAAAGTAGCGAAAGCCTTGAATTTCTTCTCGTCCTTGGTAACTTCACGGAATTCAATGGTGGGTTCTTCCTTCTTAATAGGCATAACCTTGCCCTTAAGTTGGGTAGCCAACTTGCATTCTTCAAGAGAAGATTCACCCTTGCGGATCTTCTTCTCGTTGATGGGGAAGAGAATCAATTTGCTCTTGTATTCCTTCAAGCGTTGGATGTTGCGTTGACGGGATTCGATGGATTTGTTCTTGCGTCTGCGATCAACAGCGATGCCAACAGTTTTGGCAAAACCAGCAGTAAGACCGGCACCCTAAAGAGACAAACAAAAATATTTAATGTTTACATCTTGCTGGTTGGGGGGAAAAGTGTGTCAATATTTAGACACCTACCTTCAATTCTTCCAAAGTGAAACCGCGACCAGCACGCAACTTGGTGTGATAACGGATGGTGGGGCATCTGACTACGGGACGGAGGGGACCAGCAGCGGGACGGGGGAAGACTTCCTTGGCTTTCTTAATGCGGTTATTGCGCCTGCGGATCTTGCGGGCGGGTTGGTTGAACCAGGTCTTAACATGACGTTGCCACCACTTGTGGAAGTGAGCATTTGGAATCATATTATTTCCCTTACCCATTTTGTTGTTTAGTCTGCAATAGTTATAAACAAAAACGCACTGATTAATAACGTTACAATACAAATTCACTTAATAGGAACACATTTACGTTTATTCTCCATATAACCACAAAAAAACAAAAATAATTTTCGTTCAAACACCACGTGGTTGTCTCATGAAATTTTAACACAAATTTTCATTTTTCTTTACTAAAATCCATTATGTTTTATGCTTAGTTTATTAGTAGGCACTTCTTTCATTTAATTTCATTGAAATTTCAACCAAAACTTTTTTAATTTTTACATATTTTTTAAAAAATCACCAGCAGAAATTTTTTACAAACCTTTTCTTCCCAACAACGAATCAAAAAGGAAAAGTGCAGCCAACTTAGCAATGTCGAAAAAACATTTTTCGAATAACAGTCGATTATTTTCGAACTTAACATACAACCCTGTGTAGGTATAGGGTACGAAAAATGCAACTATGTAAGTAACCGATAACTAAAGTTTTTTGAAAAAAATAACTAGTAGATTCATGAATTTTTAACAAAAATGTATTTTAAAATAAAATTTACTGTTAGTCAGTGCCTGTGTTCTGTAACTTTCGAATCGACAAAAACATCGGGTGAACACACGTAATTCAAATATGTTTTGGTTCAATTTAAAAATTATCTGAATCATAGAACTAACAAGGGAGAGACTCTTTCAATGTTTTTTCTCGACTCGAAAACTACAGAGCACAGGCACAGAATAAATCGAATTTAGTCGAAAAATCATAATTTTTCAGAATACGAAGATTTTCGGCTATTTACATGTACACAACACGATCATAGACGAATTTGCCAACAAGAGCATAAAAATACAAACATTCATTTCTGGGGGACTATGTTCTAAAATATGTATATATAAATTGACTGTCGAACTAGTTAGAGTACAATATTCGGAATCTGAATCTGTGAGAAACTATAATTGTGTATCCGAAGTCGTTAGTTACAAAGCGCCACTTTAATTATATATAAAGTAAAAACCTGAATCTATGTGATAAAAGTTAATGAAAATTCTTGCAGAAACCCTGAATTGTTACAAATTAATATATTAACGATATTTCAATCTAGCACAATTATACCAGAGTGATAAAGGCATTTATTTAGAGAATAAATTCCTATACAAACAATTTTTGGATTTAACGAAAGGGCCTGAAAATATATCTGTCGTTATACTGGGCTTTTCCTGTATTGTTAAAAGTCGAATGATCCGTTTGGATTATTGCATTGGCAATATCAACATTATTTATAATTTTGTTTACATTTTTATTACTTATTGCTATTTTGTATTTATAAAGAAAGATTTATTATTAAAAAATTGCAAAAAGTAAATACAATTCTCATACATAAGTAGGGTTCTATAGTTGAAACGAAAAGTCGACTTTTCGACTTTTTGCATTTAGTTAAAAGTCGACTTTTCGACCTTTCGACTTTTTCCATTTTATGAAAAGTCGATTTTTCGACTTTTCGACCTTTTTCATTTATTTAAAAGTCGACTTTTAGACTTTTCGACTTTTAGTATTTTATAAATGGTCGACTTTTCGACCTTTCGACTTTTTCCGACTTTTCGACTTTTTCCGACTTTTCGACTTTTTCCGACTTTTTTCGACTTTTCGACTTTTTTCGACTTTTTCCGACTTTTTTCGACTTTCCGACTTTTCGACTTTTATTTACAAAGTCGACTTTTCGACTTTTTTCATAGACGATAGTCGAGTTATCGACTTTTTTGGAACAAAATAGTCGACTTCGACTTTTCGACTTTTTTCGACAAAAAGTCGATTGTTCGATTATTCGAAAGTCGATTTATAGAACCCTATACATAAGTTAATTCAGGACTTTTCGAATTATTTACAAAAAGTGTTTCTAAACCACAGTACTAAAATCTATGTTATGAAAAATATGAGCCTTTTTCATTTTAGTGCTTTTCAACCCTGAACAAGTTGACAGCCCTGTCGATATTGATAAAATTCGATGACGCGATTGCAGACGAAAAGAAAATTATCTATTTTTTATAAAAAAAATTTGTGTTGACAGTTTAAAAACAGTAAAACGAAAACATAAATATTGTGGAAAAAATGTCGGATCCTTTGCAAGATCCTCCGGTGACCCCACATATAGCACAGCTAAAATTTGCTAAATTACACAGTCCCAAAATGAAAAGTGTGTACTGGCGTCATTTTGGATTTCCGACAAATGAAGACAACTGCATAATAACAAAACAAAATGTAGTTTGCCTTATTTGTCATAAGGTTTTAACTAATCACGGCAATACCACCAATCTACGTGCTCATCTGCAATATCGTCACAAGGAGGTTTTCAATCAAATCATACAAGACAACGGAATACAGGTGCCACCGCGTAAGCCACAAACAAAAATGTCACTTAATGGCAGTGGGGCGGGCGGCATGAAAATCAAACGTGAACCGGTCGATAAGAAACCGAAAATTAAAGTTGAATATCATAACTCGATGATGCAGCAGCATGACACCTATTCGAATGATGCCTCTGTAAGCGGCAACGATGACCATTCGATATTGTATGAAACCGTGGTGCCGATGACTTATGAAGACGATGACATAGTGGACAGTAATCATTTTACAAAAATCGAAGTTAGCAGTGCCAACGATGTCAAACCAACTTGTAGTGATTTGCTACAGGTGGGTGGCAGTAGTAGTAATCGTAATGTGGAACGGAAATATCGCATTAGTACTGTCAATAATATGTCCACAGATTTGGCAACAATAGATAATTATCAATTGCAAGAGGCGCTAACAAATCTGGTGGTCGATGACTTACGAAATGTGGAGAGTTTATTTGATGCCAGCATGTCGAAATTTATTCGAACTATATGTGGTAATGTGTCCATACCTTCAGCGAAAAAGGTAAGTAAAGACGGTTTGCAAATGTTTAAAAAAATTGTCAAATTTTATGAAATCCTATTCCAGATAGAATTGTATATAAAAGAATTGCACAGTGATAAATATACCACTCTAACGGATCAAATAAAAGTTCATTCACAAATTAAACCCTATTCATTGGGTTTCGAACTTTGGTCTAATGTGGAACAGAAAAACTTTCTATCAATATTTTTTAACTATTACCACAGATGCACCGCTATAATTTGGTAAATCAGATCTATTGTACCATAGAATATAATAAATTTACCGCAATTGATACAATATTTGAAGAGTTTAATTTACAAAATTGTACAGCGGCCATATAAATTGTGATGATTATTATTTAAAGCATTTTCTGGACGGAAAGGTAAGATTGAGTTTAGTTGTAATATTCGAAAAGTTAAAAAACCAATTTTTTTTGCAGATATACCCATTATCTACTCGTATGATACAATTGTTAATCATTGTATTAAAAATGTTATAGCATTACCAGCTGTAGCCTCTATTATTGAGGAAATCAAAGATACTATAATGCGTTATAATGTGGAAATTAACTCCAAGGTTAGTATTAATCTTCTTTTTTGATTGTTTTGTTGTTATTTTTGTCAATTTAGGAAGTGAAATTCCCCCCCCTAAATGATGACTTCCCATGGACTTATTATGAGTTACTAAAGTTTTTTGCGGAACTTTATTTTGGCCTGAGGAATTAGAAGTTTTAGTAGCCTCGGCTAAAGGTCTTTATGATATACTAAGTACACTTTCTGTAAGTGGATTAAAACGAAAACTATTTTTTTTATTATTGCTTATTTATTAATATAAATTGTTTGATTTTAGGTGACTTTGGATACATTAAAGGGTGAAGATATACCACTGAGTAGTATGTTGTCACCGATTACATCTAAGGTTTTAAACGAAAAAGCTGGCCATACATGAAAGTGATGACAATTTTGTGGAAATTATTAAAAACACCATCAGTAATACACTTCATAAATTGTGAGTATTTAAGTATTAAAGCTAAATGTTAAACACAGGCCAACAAATGTTTAAGCCAAAGACTACAACTGACATCAGAATTTACTCATTACATTAGGTATTCGAGATGTTGTTTCATAAGCATTCAAAAACCCCCTTTTGTGGTAATATTTTAGATGTTATAACAGACCAAAGGCAACATCGTTTATAAATGGCATCTGAAAGTCTAATCTGCCGACATTAAAATAAAGCTCTCATCTCTATTATATCTGCTTCCTTCTTCGAGATATCTTAACTTAAAGTTTCAGATAGCATAAATAATTTTATAAACAAGGGTATCACTGTCATATAACGTCTCAACTAATGCCAAAAATGGGGTTTTTTCAATCTTTATGACACGATATCTCGAAAACTCGGATTCAGATCAATCTTGTAGTAAGGACTACACACTTTGGTCTCTGGGTTAACAATTGGCAAACATTTTAAGCACGTTTTTTTAATCATCATACACCACTACTGGCCATCTTCTTTATTTTCAGGGGTCTTATCGGATAATCACTTAACCATTTCAGCATTATTAGATCCTAGATTTCATCGTTTAATAAACATCAACAATTTAAATAATTGCATTAAAATTTTAACCAGCAAATACGATAAGATTACAGAATCACAAGGTATATCGCCAAGTATTTCTTCACCCAGATCCACACAAAATCGAGTAAAATCTACAAATACCAATAATGCAGTAAAAAAATCTAGTATGTTTACTTACTTCACAATCGTTTAAAAGCAAACACTTATAAAATTTCTACTTTTCCTACAGATTTAGAATTATTTTTCGATTTAACTGAAACTCCAGTGGAACAGCCAGTCACGACCTTGCCCAATAGTGTAGAAAACGACTTGAAACGTTTATCGCACCGATGTCTACTGCAGCCTCGATGAATCGCCCTTTTTGTGGTGGAATCGTATGGGTCATATGTATGGCTCTTTAAAACATTTAGCCCATCAGTATCAATGTGTGCCATGTGTGGTTAATATGAACTATAGGAAAAATATAAAAGAACAAATTTTAGACAGTCAAAAACGTTACATGTTAACTGGCAATCTTATAGATGCCATATTATTTTTGCATTATAATTGAGTAGTAAACATTTAATATATTATTAGATATTTTCTTATGTAAGAATTTTTAGTTTTAAGTTTGTTTTTGACCATTTGAATGAGGAATACATGCTAACAAATACATATGATTAGTTTATGTACGGCTGCTTATTAGTATGTATGATGGTTTCTTAGTTTTAATACAGATATTGTCCATATTTTTAAATAAAAATTCTAATTAAATTTGAAGAAAAATATATCATTTCTTAATAAAATAAATTTCTTAGTTTTATTATTTACAGGATCAAAATATTAATTAACAACATTCTTATAACTACTTTAACTTAGTCTTATTATTCTTCTTTTAAAGGTTGTTGTGGCACAGTCTCAGGATTTGTATTAGTTACAGTTTTAGCTTTTGTCTTAGTCATGGTTTCGAAAGGTTCACCAATAGTTATAGGCAAACGATCACCCCAACGACCAGCTTTGGCACATCTATAGGCGGGTCTGTAATATTAAAAAATATTATTAAATGAACATGATTTCCTAGAATAATTCCACTAACCTGCCATGTTTAGATTCGGTAAATATAATTTCTTGTAATTTGCCCTCTGACGTGCACATTCTGCAAATGGCATGTTTCGAACGTAATAGTGTAGGACGTACTATTCTCGGCCATGCTCTTGTACTATCTTCTGGTAGTCCTTTTTTAAGTATCACATAACTAAATCTGGCTGTTGCTGTACGTTTGCTATTTTTGTTTTAAATTTGTTGGCACAAAATTAATTTCGAAATTACAGGGAGTACGATCTTCCGGATTCGAAAGGCGCGGACAAATGTTGTCGTGTGGACACTAGAAGTTAAAACAGTAACATTACATATTTGTTTCACTATTTAGGAATTTTCTACTTACCGGTGCAAAACATGACCCACTAAACTATGCTCTTCAAAGGATAAAACCAAATCTCTGGCCTCATTTACCAATTGGGAACCACGTCTTGTGCCCTCTTCTACTATAATCATATAACCATCACATTTCTTCCACAAATTTAATATCACACTTAAACGGTTTTCTGAGCTGGCTAATTCGAACAAGGAATGGGAGCATATAACTAAATCATACTTGGTCTGCAAAAGAATAAAATAAAAACATTAAATTCTTTATTAAAAAGCCTACAAACTTTACTTACTTCTAATCCGGGCAAAAACTGACGATAGAAAACATTTTTCAAAGTCATTTGTTGATTTTCATTGCCATCCCTTAAAATTAATTCGGATAATTCATTCATATGCCTGGAACTGTCAACATTGAAATATTCGAATATGGAATCTTTCCATAGGCTACTACTGGCCCACATACCGGTGCCCACACCCGAACCAAAATCAAAATAACTTTGTGGCTTAAATTCCGAATCACGTGTCTTGATTTCCTGTAATATGCGCATTAAGACACCATACTCATGTGCCCCTCTGGCCACTGCATACACCAGTGCTTCATATTCTCCATACTGTACCGGTTTCCAGGCAAATGTTCGTTCCCTTAAACGTCTTTGCAATAATTGTTCTCTTCGCTGTTCCCATTGTTTACGTTCCTGTTCGCTGAGATTTCCCATTTGTTCTAGCGGCATTATAGTTTCTATCTCCTCCATAATCTTTTTCACTTTTACATTAATTTCCTCTGCTTCTGCTGGTGGATGACGGGATGCTATGAATTGGTTTAATTTCTTACCGTCCTCCATAAGAGTTTTTATGGGAAAGTCACCCACTACCTTTTGCAGAGCTTTCTCGATATTAGCCGGCAAGAGCGTGCGATTAAATTTCATAACTCCGGGATGCTGCCTAGCTTTTACTTCATCATTTTCTATTTTACGCAATACATTTTCGTCAACTTCTACCGCGATTTTGCTAGTATTTCGCTTTAACTGTTTAAACACCATTAATTGTAAAGGTTTTGTAATGTTTTTCATAGATAAATTCATATTTTTTCTATTAATTATTTATTCCCTAAACACTGAAAGAATTGAAAGAATGGGGAAATTAAAATCCAACAGCTGATTGTCAGGCGAATCCACACAAGGTGAAGTCCAGCCGTAGGTGGAGTTTGACAGCCGTCATAGACTTTTGTAAACAATTATCTGCTGTTTATGTATATGTCGTCATCCTGCATGAATTTGCCTTCGTCTTGTTTGTTTACAATCGGGGTATATTCAGTGAGAATGTCAACAGAAAATTAATCATTAAATTATCGATAAAATGCACCAAAGATAACATTTCTAAATTTATTAAAAGTATGAATTAAACAAATATTAATATTATCTAAAATAGAGGACCAATGCACAAAGTATAACCAATATATAAACCTAAATATCCAAACCATCTCGTATTTTAATTATATTTTTGATTGTAAACCTAGCAGAATGAAATTGTTGTCTGTACTAGAGGCACTAGAAGAACTTTAAATTCTGATTAGAACTAGATTTAAATATTTATTTATACTTTCGTATTTTGTACATATATTTGAATCTGTCTTGTTTTTTAAAGGTAGTAGTTTATAATTAATACTATTATAAGCAACAATGATATTTTATCGTTAAGTTTTCCTTTTACAGTGTTACCAAGCCGTCTATGCGGCGATATATAATTTAATATTTTGTGTAATGAATTTGGTACGATATTAAAGAGAATGAATGCATTCTTTTAAATTTTATAACATTTAAGTAAAAGGATAAATTTTTACTTTTTAATTTCGATTTCTTGCAGATACAAAATCCTAAATTTCTTAATTTTTCATTAAATTTTCATTGCATTAAAGGCCTTTAAATAGTATTTTGGTAATTTTCTAATTTCCGTTACATTGGCAACCATACTCTATGGACAGCTCATAACAAATCTGAACGAAAGTAAAACTTTTTCATATTCCGCTATTCTCGCGAAAAATATTTGATATTTTCAACTAAACAACAAAGAAAATTATTGTTTATTTTGTGTAGAAAAATTTGAAAATTTAATTAAAACGTTCTAAAGTTGGAGAAGTTAAAGAAAATATCATAAAAATGTATTACATTCGGTATTTGTGTAATAAAAGTGCCAGAGAAAAAATTGATTAGTATAAAAAAAGTGCCACCGAGAAAAATCAGTGTATGAAGCAAAATAGAGGAAGAAAAAAAAAAGAAGAAAACAACAACAAATACTGTGCCAACCAATTAGAAATTTAACACCAATTAAAATACCACCAACAAAATAAAAAAAGAAACATTTAGCACATTCAATCAAATACAGATTAAAAACTCTGAAAATTATAAATTACTAGTTTTCACACAAACTTTTTATTTCTTTTTTTGTTAATACATTTTCGCAAGAGATAAAGGTTTTTTTTAGTTAAAAGTAATACAATCGCTTTGGCAGAAAAACAACAACAACAAAGGAAACAAATACACACAGCAGTAGCGGCAGCAGCAACAGCCGTAGCAGAGCTGAGCAGAGAGGAAAACAAACATCAATTCGAAACTTGAATAGAATAGAATATGTGTCAGAATTATTCATTGCGAAGATTCTGCGAGGAGTGGCGTATCTGGATACGACCTTTACTTATTATAACCTATGGCATATTTGCGATAATCGTAGTGCCTCTGCTCATTATCAATTCCGTCAAGGATGGTTTTCAGCGTCGTGATCAATTGATATTAATTGGTGGCTTATTTGTTTTATCAGCAGTGCCCATATCAATTTGGCATATTATTCAGCATGTTGTACACTTTACAAAACCCATTTTACAAAAACACATCATACGCATATTGTGGATGGTGCCCATATATGCCTTAAATGCTGTAAGTACTCCCTAAGTACACCAACAGCTTATTCCAGGATTTTATATTTAAATATTTTTCAGTGGATTGGTTTATTCTTTCCGAAACATTCAATCTATGCCGATTCGTTACGTGAGTGCTATGAGGCCTATGTGATTTATAATTTTATGGTCTATTTATTAAATTATTTAAATTTGGGCATGGATTTGGAAGCGACCATGATGTATAGATCCCAAGTACATCATTTCTTTCCTATGTGTTGCATTCGTCCCTGGACCATGGGTCGAGAATTTATACATAATTGTAAACATGGTATTTTACAATATACTGTGGTGCGGCCAATAACTACATTCATAGCGGTGTAAGTATTTTTGCAATTTTCAAGTTCAATTAATGATAATATTTATGTACGTTTTGCATGTATTGCGTATCTATTATTAATTTTTTTTCTACATTCAAATATATTTCATATATTGTTCAATTGATTTTATTGTTTGTCGTAACATTGTCTAACGTTTAGCTATTTTCCTTAAGTGGTCATCAAATTCTTTGCTTTTTAACAAACATATGTACGAGATACCGAGTATTGACGATTAATATACATACAATTATTCGATTAGTTAGTAATTTCCATCGTTTGTAAGATTTTTTAAAATTTCATTTTACTCGAAACTGCGTACCATGTTAGGAAGGTATTTTTAAATAATGATTTATATTGAAATTGATATTAGTTTACAAGGGGTGTGTACTATGAGATATACTCCCACTCGGAGACTCATGGTTTTCATTGTGATTACCTTCAAAAGTTAGTATTAGATAATCCAAAACAGGATGTAAACAATTTAAGATTAGGAAAAGGGGGATTGAGATTGAGAGAGGAAGTTTCAGGGAAGTGGATCTTCTCTCTGATAGTTGAGGTAATTTGGTAGATGACATGCCAATTGGAACTGTTTAGACAAGCAAGTCATTATGTTGTCTCACCTAAAATAACCGAGTTTCCTCATGTAGATGATCTTTCCTTCCAAATAAAGAAAATGTTATTTATGAAATTCGCCTTTTAAGTTTTTGTACTATTTAATCTTCAGGTGGCTTTATAATCAAATAAAAAAATAATTAATAAAACTTTAAAAAAAATGTATTTTTAGTATTTGCGAATTATGCGGTGTCTATGGAGAAGGTACTTTTGCCGGAAATGTAGCATTTCCCTATATAGTTGTTATCAACAATATCTCACAATTCGTAGCCATGTATTGTCTCGTTTTGTTTTATAAAGCCAACAAGGTAGGATATTAAATAAACAAATATTTAAAACCTACAATTAAAAAAATAATTTTCTTAACAGGAGGATTTAAAACCCATGAAACCTATACCAAAATTCTTGTGCATTAAAGCGGTAGTTTTCTTTTCATTTTTGTAAGTACAAAAAAAAACGTTTCCATGAGAAATTATTATTAATTACTTAATTTATTTTCATTATTAGCCAAGGAGTGTTATTAAACGTTTTAGTTTATTATAAAATAATAAAAATCTTTGAAGCAGATGATTTGGGTGAGGATGCCAATTTGGCCTCAATGTTGCAAGTAAGTTCGTTTTTAAATAAAACATATTAAAAGCTAAAAAGAAGTAAACATTTTCTGCCTTTTACAGAATTTCATTATTTGCATTGAAATGTTTATAGCAGCAGTGGCTCACATTTATAGTTTCCCTCACTATCCATTCCATATTAACTCTCAACAATATTGGAATAATCCAAATCATAACTGGTGTCGGGCTTTTCTATCCATGATCGATATATCCGATATACAAGAGGATGTATCCGAACATTTAGGTGTTGTTACCGGCACCATAAGTCGTCGATTCCAAGGTCGCAGCGCTTATCAGCCTTTATCGCGTGGCACTAGACGTTCAAGCGGCGAGTACTTTAGACGCCTAGATGGTGAGGACTCAAGCAGTAGTCAGCAACTGCTAGTTCCGGACACTGATAGCAGTGATAAAACAGGTAATAATAAGAAAAGAAATCCATATCAAACGCATTATGCTAAACCGCTGGCCAAGGCCAATCGCTATGGAGCTACAGATAGTCTTGTGCTACCCGTTTGTGATGCTGCAATAACCAATGATTCTCAATCTCAATCCCAATTAGCAGGTAACCGTCCCACCACTTCCAAAGCTTCCATAACAACTGCAACTGGCAACGAAACTAGTAGCAATGCCGCCGCCATCATTGCTACCAACACTAACACTCATCCCTCTGCTACCCACTCCAATTTTGGCGGTATTAGTATACAAAAACGCGATCCAACCGTTAGAGACTTTCCGACACATTATGGGGCGCCCGTGGCGGGTGGTACTAGTTTTCTGCAGGCTCGTAATGTTACGACAACACACGCTCCCAGTCCCATTCCAGAGTCCGTTGATGATTTTGCATCATTTATCGGTTCCTCAAGATGACAGCGTTATGATAGTAATAGTCAAAATTATAATCCATCCGCTAGTGAATCGATTTCTATAGGGTTTTCCAGTAGCCTTAAGTTGTCGACGGGTGGCAGCCTCAGTAACAACAGTAATAATTCATCTGATTGGTTAAGTTCGCCCGATGGTGTGGGTCCAAAATTATTATTAGATGATGATGATAATAATGATGATGATGACGATAATGTTGGCGATGATATTGACGTAGGGCCAACATGTTCTACTATGCAACAACAACAACAACTACAACTTAGCCACCCACATACTGAATCTAACGAATACATCACTTAAACTCACACAACAACATCACCACTAACAATCACGACAACTAATACAAAAAAAAACACCAAACACAATCTACATTTTTTTTGTAATTACAAACAAAATAATTATTAATGCTACCAAATGATAGAAACGAAAACAAATCTACTTAAATACAGACGTACAGATCGGACGGGTGTAGACTTTAGGGAAAAAGAAAAACGAAATACCCGAAAGCAATTGTTATTGTTTTTTTTTTATTAATCTTTGTATTTTGTAACTTAAATGTTTGTGTTTCTTTAGAAGTCTCTTGATTATCAACAATTTACCAATATTATCATTGATTAGTGATAATAATGTGTCAAAAAAATTTATAGATTTTATGACCAAATTCAAAGTTTAATATTCTTTAGAAAATTGTTTAAATTTATGAATATTGCAATTGGTTTCTTGGGAACAAACTCTGTTTTTAAGCCTGTTTTGGCTAAAAATTCATTGCAATCATCATTCCAATATTCAAATATCAAAATCCATTTAATTCTCTTAAAAGTTTCTCTTATTTCTCTCCATTTTAAGGGAAAATTCCAAGTTTGATAAGCTATAGATTTTGTCTTTCTTTATTAAAAAATTTTTCCAAAATTATCACGAGAAATCATCTAAAATTAATGAAAAATTCCAAGTTTTAAAAATGTAAAAATTATGTTCGAAAAACTACATCTTTTATTGATATGTTCGAAATTACAAATATATATTCGAAATTATGAATTATATTCTAAAATAATTAAGAGATTATGATAATTCCTAAAAAATGTATTAAGAAAATTTTCAAATTTATATTCAAAAATTCAAACTTATGTTCTAAATATTTTTATTTTATTGGAAATTAATTTTATTGCGTTTTTTTTTTTAAAGATAATCTTAAAATTTTCATACATTTTAATAGTATTTTCAATGTAGTTTCAAAATATGCCATTTTTAAGTTATTTTCGAAAATTCGAAGTTATAATCGAATGAAATTTAAAGCTGTTAAAATGTTATTCTAATTATCAAATTCAAAATTTTTATTCATTTTAATAGTATTTTCAATGTAATATCAGATTATAACCCTGTTATGACATGTTCGAAAATTCGAAATTATTTTCGAAAAATTGTTAACATAATCTCTAAATCCTTAGGATGCATGGAAATATTATTTTAGTATTATTTGAAACCAATTTTTTTACATTTTTCAATTTTGAACATAAAAGTTTTCCAAAAAGATTTCGAAATATTCATGAATTTTCAATATTAGTTTCAAAAAATAAAAATTTTAAGATATTCCCCCATATTCTGCATTTCAAATACGTTTCCGCATTCAGTTATGCAATATTCGAAAATAAGTTCGAAAATTCGAAGTTATTTTCGAAAAATTGTAAAGGCTGTTAAAATAATCTCTAAATCCTTAGAAAGCATAAAAAATTAATTTTAGTTTTTTTTGGAACAAATTTTATTACATTTTCCAAGTTTCGAACATTAAAATGTTCAAAATATTCATAAATTTTTAATATTAGTTTCAAAAAATATGAAATTTTTGAGACATATCTTTTCTGCATTTCGAATACGTTTTCGTATTCAGATATGATGATCGAAAAAACAAGTTGGAAAATTCGAAGTTATTTTCGAAAAATTGTTGAAGCTGCTAAAATAATCTCCAAATCCTTAGGACGCATGGAAATTTAACTTTAGATTTATTTGGAACCTAATTAATTACATTTTTCAATTTCGAACATAAAAATTTTCAAAAAATATATAAATTTTTAATATTAGTTTCGAAAAGTAAACATTTTAAGATATTCCCCATATTTTGTATTTCTATAACGTTTCCGAATTCAGTTACGCAATGATCGAAAACATTTTCGAAAATTCGAAAGTTCTTAAAATAATCTCCAAATCCTTGGGAATCATAAAATATAATTTTAGTCTTATTTGAAACTAAATTTATTACATTTTTCAAATTTCGAACATAAAAATTTTCAAGAAAAAATTTATAAAATTCATGAATTCATGAATTGAAAATTAATTTTCAATATTACTATCAAAAATAAACATTTGAAGATATTCTACCATAATCTGCATTTCGAATATGTTTCCGTATTCAGTTAATTCGAAATTATTTGAAACTAAATTTATTACATTTTCAAATTTCGAACATAAAAATTTGTAAAAAAGTTTTTTTTTTTTTAAAAAAGAAGAAGCATTACCACGCATTACGGATCGAAATGCAGAACATCAAAGTTGCCAAACGGAGAAAATTTCGATTCGAATTGATAAGCAGAATAGGGCTGATTAACTTGTAATTTTTTGTTTTGGAAAAATTTTCATTGAAACATTTTGATAGCATGCTGTTGTCTTTATAAAAAATTCGGTACTTGCCAGAACCAATATTCAGATTTTAAACATTAACCGAAAGCGTATATTCATCAAAAGTATTTTTAGAAAAACTACTATTGAATATAACGGTCTAAATCTATGTATTTGGAAGCAGTACTTTTTTAAAAAGTACTTATTTACTTTTTATATAAAAAAAACAAACATTTAAGTTACAAAATATACAAGTAAACCCCTTTTTTACCTTTATAGTATATTATCACTTTGTTTATAACTTAATTTTTGCTTTAATGTTTAACTTAAGAACTGCAATTAATTACAAAATTATAATTTATTTTTTTAATTTTTGGGGATTTTATGTGGTTTTTATGATATTGTTTTAACTACTTTTTTTAAAAAAGCATCTGTTTTAATTTAAAAACAATTTCAGTTTAATATAAATTGTTTGATTTGATTTTATTAAACTAACCAAAGTAGTTTTAAGAAAGCAAGACTTATTTTTTATATATAAAATAAATTATGTGTAGGTATTTATATAAAGAAACAAAAACTGTAATTATAAATTAAAAAAACTGCAAGTGGCCTTTGTTTAAAAACTATTAATAATTCAATTTCTAACAAGCTAACATTAAAATTCTCATTCAAAACAAGAAAAGAAAAAAACTAAAAGTTTCATAAATAAAAAAAAACTGTCTTTAAGACAAAAGTGATTTTCAGCGGCTTTAAGCTAAACAATCAAACATTTATACAAAATTTATTAATAATAATTTTTGTATTTTAACAGATGCATTTTCAAATATTGCTTTAGGAAAACTTTAAAGTAAAAGAACAGTTAGTAAAACAAAGCAATACAATAACTACTTAATTTCTTCACACTCTCCTTTTTGTATTGTATGTGTAAGAGAAAACAATGATAACATTTTGAAATCACTTCTATTAACTGGTGTTTTTAAAGAAAAACAAAAAAACTTAACAAGAATTATGTTTTGAATTGTTTATAGAGTCGTGTATATTATTAACAATTTTTATAAATAGTTAGTTTTAGCTTTAGGTTTATATAATACAAAAACAAATTTATATGATTATTTTTATTTCCTTTATTTTTTTGTATTTATTTTAAATAAATTTTTAAATTGGAAAAATAATAAAAAAAAAAACGAAAAAAAATTAAAATGTTTGTATTTTATTTAATTTTTATTATCAAAATATAAAGGGAATGTATAATTTTTTTTTAATTACCTTCTAATATAATAAGTTCTTTTATGGTTTATTTATTTCTTTTTTGTAATATTAATACTTTATTTTGTTTTAATTTTAGTTAAACAAGTTTAGTTCAGTTGTTTGCAACATTTTTACAAAAATTATACTAATACAGACATTGCTTTTTTTCATATTTTGCATTTAATAATGGGAGGGGGTTTTAAGTACATTTTTTATTAACATTTTATCTTTTAAATCGTCATTTGTTTTTAAAATACAGAAAAAAAAGACTTGAAACACACTTTCATATTTAAAAATTTCGTTAAGAAAATTAGTCATTTTGTTAACAACTAAAAACACAATAAAACTTTTACAATTTAATAAATTAAAGCAACAAAAAGGCACAATTTTGTTTTGTTTATTAATAAAGATTTCTCTTCATTTTAGTAACATTTTATCAATATTTTATCTATTTAGTTTGTTTGTGTTTTTTTTATTTATTTGTTTGTTTAATCATCTGTCATACATTCATGCATATATAAGCAGTCGCCAAACCACCCACCCATTCATACGTCAAATTAAACTTATCAAATAATAATAATAATAATAATAATATATAATATGTAACTAACTGGTTCCTGTGTACCATGGACTACTAAACTGCTCACACTACTAACTCAAAACTCACTCGTAACTCCCTGTTGTCGTTGTCTACGTCGTCGTTTTTTTTTTAACATTAGTTGTTGTAGTTTTGTCGTCCACCCAATTCTAAAAGGAAACGATCTGGATGATCCATCCAATCAGCTGCTGTTAATTTAACTGTACGTTGTCGTTCGGCTTCTTTAATTTGCCATTTTTTAATATCCAACTGCACTTCACGTGATGTCTTATCTCCACAGCCCCATACCTTGAAAAATAAAAGAAAAACAATAATTATTTTAAAAAATACCAAAAAAAATGGAGTAAAAAAAGTATAAAACAAGAATATAATTAACAAAATTGTTTTTTTTTTTTTTTGTTTGTTATGGAAGCTTTGTTGCGTGATAACTAATAATATACATAAAATCTATTTATTAATTTATTTGTTTATGAGTGATGATGATTTTACTGTTTTTTTGTTTATTTCTTATACAAATGTGAATAAATTTATACCTAATAAATTGAAAAACTAACGAAATTTAAAATAATTATAAGACAAATAATAACTGCATATACATATACACATACATTATAAATATATAAAACAAATGTTCTATTATAATTAAACGAATTATATTAAATTAATTGAAATATACGAAATAAACCAAAGTGTATAAAAAATAGATCATGAGTTACAGGTTTTTTGTTTTCATTTTCTTCTTTTATACCAGTCAGAATAAGCTTCATTAGAAAATATGGTCAATCTGTCTTTGATCATTTAATGGAATCAGTAATAAACCGATTTTAAACATGCTACAACAGGTCAATGGTATCCTGTCACAGAATACCATTTCGATCGAAATTAACTCTTCAAAGAAAATCCCGAGAATCAGTCATGTTAGTTTCTATAAACTTGCAACGCTGTATTCTTCATTTTTGAGCTGAGTAGTAGAACCAACCCATCTAGTAATTTCTCATCTTGAAGCTCTTTCAACTGATTGCTGGCTCTTTCTTGATAAAGAGTTTTGTATACATTAGTAAGTTTTGATAGATAATTGTAAGCCCGATTCGTTAACTAATTGAAAGTATTGTTATGATTGTTCCCAAATAACCTTTAGCAAAATTCAGCGGGTAAATCTTAGATCAGTGAATTTGTCTCATTAGTGGAAGAATGAGATAGGTAGATAGTATATAGAATGATAGATAGATAGATAGATAGATAGATAGATAGATAGATAGATAGATAGATAGATAGATAGATAGATAGATAGATAGATAGATAGATAGATAGATAGATAGATAGATAGATAGATAGATAGATAGATAGATAGATAGATAGATAGATAGATAGATAGAGATAGATAGATATATAGATAGATAGATAGATAGATAGATAGATAGATAGATAGATAGATAGATAGATAGATAGATAGATAGATAGATAGATAGATAGATAGATAGATAGATAGATAGATAGATAGATAGATAGATAGATAGATAGATAGATAGATAGATAGATAAATAGATAGAGATAGAAGATAGATAGATAGATAGATAGATAGATAGATAGATAGATAGATAGATAGATAGATAGATAGATAGATAGATAGATAGATAGATAGATAGATAGATAGATAGATAGATAGATAGATAGATAGATAGATAGATAGATAGATAGATAGATAGATAATAGATAGATAGATAGATAGATAGATAGATAGATAGATAGATAGATAGATAGATAGATAGATAGATAGATAGATAGATAGATAGATAGATAGATAGATAGATAGATAGATAGATAGATAGATAGATAGATAGATAGATAGATAGATAGATAGATAGATAGATAGATAGATAGATAGATAGATAGATAGATAGATAGATAGATAGATAGATAGATAGATAGATAGATAGATAGATAGATAGATAGATAGATAGATAGATAGATAGATAGATAGATAGATAGATAGATAGATAGATAGATAGATAGATAGATAGATAGATAGATAGATAGATAGATAGATAGATAGATAGATAGATAGATAGATAGATAGATAGATAGATAGATAGATAGATAGATAGATAGATAGATAAGATAGATAGACAGATAGATAGATAGACAGATGATAGATAGATAGATAGATAGATAGATAGATAGATAGATAGATAGATAGATAGATAGATAGATAGATAGATAGATAGATAGATAGATAGATAGATAGATAGATAGATAGATAGATAGATAGATAGATAGATAGATAGATAGATAGATAGATAGATAGATAGAAGATAGATAGATAGATAGATAGATAGATAGATAGATAGATAGATAGATAGATAGATAGATAGATAGATAGATAGATAGATAGATAGATAGATAGATAGATAGATAGTAAGCGGTTAAGAACGTGCCATCGACTCTAAAGAGATAGATAGCTGTTTTATTGTATACATATGCTACTGGCTATATATGGTCGCCACAACAAGCTAATTAGTAGTATATACATGGTAACAGTTCTTAATATAGTGGAGAGACGTTGGGAGAATGATTTTTAAAACAAACTTTTAGTATGATTAATCGCTGCATCATATATGAGGATTCGCAGTAAATCTGACAAGTACTTAGACACAGCAAATATTTGTATTAGAATTTAAAATAAAACAATAAGTGACGTATATAACAATAAAAGATAAGCAAAATTATTTAATTAATTTTAATTATATTAAATTACATACATATAACTACGTATGCGGAAAACTAAACATGTATGCATTTTGAAAAAAATATAAAAAAAAATTTATAAAAAACTTACCTCAATTGAAAGTAGAACAGCAGCAATACCCTTACAATCAACATTTTCAAAATGTTCATCCACTGATAATATGGGTTTTCTAGGATCAGAACCAGCACGTAAACCTTTAGGATAACCGCGTATACTGGTGTTTAAGTATAAAATATTAGGTTTCTTTTCCAACATTGAAAATCTAGAAAAAGCAAACAATTTTTATTTTAATTAAAGACTTCTGAAACAATCTTTAAACTATTACATACTTGGGCCACAATTGTATGACACAGCTGCCCTCTCCGCCGGTATACAAATGTGTTTCTTTCCATTCAGCCGGCGAAGCAATCAAATATGTTTGATCATCTTTAGTGTGTATAAGAATCAAAGTGGGTCCCCGGTAACCGAGAACGTGATGCAAGAAACGATTTGCCCCCAAACCATGTTCATTGGAATCATACAACAAAGTCCAGTGAGAAGGCATCATAGATAGTTTTTCTATGAATATTTGCGATGCAGATGCTTTATTAGCTGTGGGTGAAGTAACCTTTTGGGGTTTTGAATACAATGGTGGCAAGGCACCGGCCAACAACCAGGCTTGTGATAATGGCATTAAAGAGGAAGAGGCATCAACACTATCAGACGAACCACCATTAGCACTATTTAACGATGATGATGAAGATTTATCGGCAAATGGATTACGTTGCTCCAAAACGGGAGTTTGTAATTCAATACCGCATGATTGTGCGTCTTGTTCGAGACCACGATAGGCGGTCGATAGGGTGTGAACACAATATTTATGCACCAATAATACTAAACGAATTAGATTCTGTTCGAACCAACGACAGACAGAACCGAGACGGAGGGGAGCGGGCGGAAGAAGAAAGCGAGGGGGAACGGAACGGAAGGGGCGAGGAGCGGGAAGGAGAAAAGAGGAGGGAGGAGAGAAGGGGAAAACAAAAGCGAGAGAGCGAGCGAGCGAGCGAGCGAGCGAGCGAGCGAGCGAGCGAGAGCGAGCGAGCGAGCGAGCGAGCGAGCGAGCGAGAGCGAGCGAGCGAGCGAGAGCGAGCGAGCGAGCGACGAGCGAGCGAGCGAGCGAGCGAGCGAGCGAGCGAGCGAGCGAGCGAGCGAGCGAGCGAGCGAGCGAGCGAGCGGCGAGCGAGCGGCGAGCGAGCGAGCGAGCGAGCGAGCGAGCGAGCGAGAGAGCGAGCGCGAGCGAGCGAGCGAGCGAGCGAGCGAGCGAGCGAGCGAGCGAGCGAGCGAGCGAGCGAGAGCGAGCGAGGGAGCGGGCGAGCGAGCGAGGAGAGAGGAGCGAGCGAGCGAGCGAGAGCGAGCGAGCGAGCGAGAGAGCGAGCGAGCGAGCGAGCGAGCGAGCGCGAGCGAGCGAGCGAGAGAGCGAGCGAGCGAGCGAGAGCGAGAGCGAGCGAGCGAGCGAGCGAGCGAGCGAGCGAGCGAGCGAGCGAGCGAGCTAGAGCGAGAGCGAGCGAGCGAGCTATCGAGCGAGCGATCGAGCGAGCGAGAGAGGAGCGAGAGCTATCGAGCGAGCGATCGAGCGATCGAGCTAGCGAGCGAGCGATCTAGCGATCTGAGCTATCGATCTTCTATCTCTCGATCTATCTATCTATCTATATCTATCTACGATCTATCTATCTATCTATCTATCTATCATCTATCTATCTATCTATCTATCTATCTATCTATCTATCTATTTTGTTTAAAAAGACTTACCGATGGACATATTACAGCATTACCCGAATGTTGCATGGCAATTGTATAGCAAATATGCAATAAGCGGGTAACACCCTCCTTATCAATAAAATCTGGATTATCCTGTTGGGCATACATTTTAATATAACATTCCAATGCCTTGGCATCATCCATTATGCCCAAGAAACGTTCACATTGTTGACGAAACGCTACAGTGCCCAAGTGAGCGGTAGTGGCTCGCGATGTTGTATGCATTAATTTAAATAGGCGTTGACCCAAATCGGTGTAGTGGGGAAATACTTGCGACTAAAATGAATAATAAACACTTGATAAGCAAATAAACGTAACAAATGTCAAATAAAATTCAATTAACACAATTTTCCTCTATTATTGAGTTCATTAAAGTCAACAACTTAAATCATATAGTGAGGTTTTGGCAAACTAAACACACAACTCACCACAAACACCTCCGCCGCAATACCATTAACGCCACACTTAGCCGAAGATTTCTCTTTAAGTATCTCCGATAGTTTTTCTATGGGCACTAATTGGGTAAAATATTTCTCGGTAACATCTGAACCCGAAGCAGAACGACTCATAGTGCTTTCGACCTTGAGCATAGCTGCCGCAGAGGAATGTGGTTTACCATTCACCTGCTGGTGAGCACTTGCTTTATTACCTTTAGCTTTCCCATCGGGTACTTCACCGCTACCCTCTCCGCTGGCACCACCTTCCGATTTCGAAGTAGAATTTCCCATGTCAAGCAGTCAGCAGGGGATTCTTTTCACTTAGGTATTTTGCTAAAAACTTTAAAAGTTTAGTTTGTTTTTCTTTCTAATTGTCAGTGCCGCACGTGAGTGTCAACAATGGAATTGTTTGTCCAAACAAAAGAATGATACAGTTTTCCTTCTTAATAGATATACGAAATGCGCAATATGAAATTGCAACAAGACCGTGGATAAAAAAAAAATTTAAAAAATAAGAGAAATACTTTATCGTCGTCTTCGTCAAGTCACACAAAATTTCTAAAAGTCAATTTGTTTCTTATCTCTTCACATTCGTAACAGTGTTGTTGTGATTGATTGTAGAATGAAAAAGTCAAAGCAAAAATAAGCAAATATTCATTATGTGAGTAATCGGTAATTGTTGTTTGTTTTGAAAATATTGAAAAAGTAACTGCAGGTTTACGGCAAAGTATAATGTTTACGGTTTTAAAATATTTTTGGAAAATCTTTTTTTTTATTTAAAGTTTTAATAGCGACACCAAATGAAAACGACGGATTTTATAAACATTAGAGACAGAGAAAACTGGATTCATCAAAATGGTCAAAAACAAAGATGTCTCTAGTTAATGACATATTGTCAATTCCAAGAGGTAAACTACATAGAATATGCTAGTATATGTTGTACAGATTAGAAAAAAACTTTCCCTAAAAAAAATCCCCTTAAAAGAGACAGAGAAAACTGTATTCATCTAGTCAAAAACAGAAATGGATTTCTCTACTAAAAGACATATGGTCAGTTCCAAGATGTAAACTACATTGTTAATATAGTATGTAAACAGCTTTCCGTACAACAAATTCATCCAAAATGGACAAAAACAGAAATGGACTTCCCTTTATGAAGACATGTCAGCCCTATAAAGGTAAACTACATGGAGAATGGAATTATACAAAGTATAGATTAGATTAAATCTTTCCATGTTAGAAATTCCTTGACGAGTTTGTGAGAAAACTGGATTCATCCAAATTAATAAAAAACAATCAATCTATAGTATATTTAAAGTGGACCTGGCATGTTAAGGTAAGATTTGCGTTTCTGAACAAAATTTAGAAAAAAAATTAATGTTTTAAAATAAACTTGTTTAGAATCCAAACGTTAATTTTGTAAAACTTACCTTCCGATCCCTAATACAAACAAATTCGCTACCACCAAATTTTTACAACATTCTTCTTTAATTCTTAATTTCAAGAATTTTTCTAATAATTTACATTTGGTCTAATTATTAGTTTTTGTCATAATTTAAATTACCATTAATACAAAAATTTCTAAATCCAAATAAAAGGTAAACAAATGAAAACGTGGAAAAAATAAAACATAAAACTTAAATTAAAAAACACATAACTTTTCCTTTGTCTTTCGTGTGGCCTGTTCCCTTGACAAGGACTTTTCCTCACGCTGCAACTGATTCAATTCCGCATTTTTGGCATGCAACTTTTGTTTTAATTGATCGTGTAACTGAGAGCCACTGGCATTACGTTTTAGGGATTTCTCGACTTCGGCAATTTCACGTTCCTTACGACGTATATCATCGGCCACTCGTACAGTTTCTACATTGAGGGACTTGGAGGTATGACTTTGTAAAGATGGTTTCTTAGTTTTTATGGCTTCAGTGGGTTTGCAGGTGGCTAAAATAGTGTCATTAATGAAAGAGAATACATCGGTGGATGATTTTTGAGATTCTCTAGCATAAGCTTTGGCATTTAACTGCTCCTGTTTCTTTTGATCTTTCTGAAGCTTTTTCTCTACACTAAAAAGATCTTTATCTCCGTTGGCAGCTTCGCGTAGTTCCATGCAGTGATCTAAAGAACGACCAGGTGGTAGAATTTGAGCTGTTACAGGAGTAATTATTCCCCGGCCGTCGGAGCCTAAACCGGTGCCATAAACATAACCCATTTTAGCCATTAATTTGGAGCCTATGCCCTTAAATGGGATAAAGAGTGTGGTTATAACATCTATTTTTGATTATAAGCTTTATCTTACCTTTGTATGTTTTTCCCAATTTCCCAAAGGTTGTGCTAATTGGTAAGTGAATAAACTGTTAAAACCTAAATTAGAATCCATTGATGTTTTTGGATATTCCTCTGAATCGCTTTCTGAATCACTAGATGAACCACTAGATAAATCTTCATCTGTTATCATAAAAAATAATGCTATTATCCAATAAATCTTTAAAATTTAACGCATAAACATACCATGAAATATCGGCAATAAGTCTTCAAAATTAAAATCCTTTTCACGTTCCTTGTGCTCTCTTACGTTATCCAAACGTACTCGACACAGTTTTTCTACAAAATTGGCACACAATACTCGACCTCGATGCCACAGACGATCGTTGAGTTTAGCCAAAACTACACAGTTTCTAGACAAACGTGAAAAGTCTGGAACGGTATATTCTTTTAACTCAGCTGCTGGTATAGTTTCTCCATGTGAAAAATGACAATTAGCATCATCAAACCGGCAATTGCCTTCAAAGTAATAATTACAAGGTAACATTTCTCGATGGGTTGGATTGGTGAAAAGTACACGCAATTTAACATCAACATTGCCGTCCTCGTCTATGTAAGCCTCATCTTCTATGCCACATATTATGGCATTATGATAACCTACGGCTCCCCATGTGTGTTTATGGGGAGCTGAACACTTTTCTCCTATCATTTTCTCGAATTTATTCTTCAATTCTTGTAGTTTTGAGCCATCATCACGCTTTTCATCTTTGCTGATTTCATTTATTTCCCTCATAAATTTTTGCATTTCATCATCGTCATTTATGTGTTCCTCATTCTTTGTTTCTTCCTGTGCAACTTGTGTCAATGCTATTAGCTCTATAATACTGTCTTTCAACGTCTGCAGCTCCTGTCGTGCACTCTCATCCTGTGTTGTCAATAAAGCCTGCTCTACAGTCAGCAACTACAAACGTTTTTAATTCGTAATCATTAATTTTTATTAAGTTTAATTATTAAAGAGATACCTGTAGCTCATATTCTTCCATTTTTTTAAAAAAGAAAATAGTTTATTTGGAAAAAACAAATATAAATTTAGAGAACTTGTCCAAAGTGATTTTTTCGTAAAAAAAGTAAACAAAACAATGATTTCATATACCGGCACTGAACATACTCTTTAGAAATGAAGAAGAGTGCTCAGCTGCAAATAATAAGGTTGCCACATTAAAGCTTAGTTAAACCGTTATTTAAATGCAGATTTAAAATACAATTGATAGGATTTTTGTTTTGAATGTTTTGATTTACTATGTGGACTTTGCTCTAAGTCGCAATTCAGATATCAATTAAAAATATTATGCACTATTTCGTGTAAGATTCTATGGGAAAATCCATACTTATTCTACTGAGAAGAATGCAGAGCATGCGAAGATGTCCAGAAACTCAGTTTCCTTGACGTAATTCCTGAGAATTTTACAATCAGTGTTTATGAGGGATATTATGCTCTACATTCGTCTGAATCCGCACGTCCAATATTGTATAGTTGTGCCCGTAATCCTGTGTGTCCATTCAGAATACGTAGCATTAGACTTGCTCATTTTGAGGATGCTTCTCGTCCTGCTTTCGTTAGGATTAATGAGGTTCTACCTAGCGTTTCATTATTCTAAGAGACCTTGTGGGTTTCTCTCACCCATATTTTTTAATTCTTCCTTCGTTGTGTCAAATGATTTTGCGTTCGTCAGTTTAACTAATTCGAGCTCCCTTCCCTTTAAGGCTATTATATTCGCTCTTCTGTTCACGACTACTCCTTGGAGGCCTGGTATCCACATGATGTGAACCATACTCGTTTAGAGCTTTCTTACCACCATTTGTATATTTTGTTTCTGGGTCTTCCATAAAGAACTTTATACGTCAAGGTAAAGGGTACAAAATGCCATCTTGTGGTGTACCGCGAAATACAGCTGCTTATTAATCTGTTCCTTAGCATGAAGTTGACCCAGTCATGGAGCACCCGGTCATGATAAAACTGATCTAAGGATTGGAAAAGTGTATCAGAGTGCACGTTATTAAAGGTACCTTCAATGTCAATGCATAACTCTAGTGCATATAGTGGACAACTTCGTTTAACGCGGTTTCCAACGATAGTCCATTATAATATAATCCGGCCCTGCAGCCTTGAGTATTCCCAAGTTTACGGATCTTCCTTGTTACCCAGGGTTTCTTCTGGGCATATCTCTACTCTCGCAGAGGGCAGCTGTTCTCGACCGATTCAACCAAGGCACTTGTGAACGTTTCTACTTTGGCGTCTATTTTGATATTGAAAAGTGTCCTGTAAGGTTCCGAACGTTGTCCAATTAGTTTTAGACTTATTCCGATGTACATATGTTGAATTTTATGTACCGATGGTCTGAAAAGGAGTGCTCGTCCTTAACTCTCCAATTCTGAATTTCGTTTATATGTTTTCTGAACATATAGTTATATCTAATTCATCTCCTTTGATTCTATCGAAGAAGAAATCCATGAGGGGTTGTTCCCTGCTTGGTGTTTGTGGAAGTTGTCATCGCAACTTATTATAATTTTCTCATTTTTTCTTTGTGCTTCTTCAGCCAGTTTCATCAGATCCGACGTAGTGTCAGAGAATCGAAGGGCAAGTAAACAGATGCAAGGTATATGTTGCCACGATCTTGCTTCAGCACCGTTGTAACCGATGTCAACAATCCTGGTGAGAGGAGAAAAGTTGGAAATTTACTTGATTTAGTTACTTTACTAGTTATGACTACAAGAACTACAATAAATTTCGATCTTGGCAAAATTCTAAGACCGGGTTTTTGAGTTGGCAATCAAATGGCAATTAATAATTAGATTAGTTAATCTAAAAATAAATTTAATCCAATGTTAATACCATTTGATGTTTTTGAGTACAAGATTAAACTTCGCAGTGTTGCCATACAAAACAACAGAAAATGTCACTGTTTGTTATCAAAACAATGCATATTTTATAAAAAAAGAAGAAGACAATTGTAAATTTAATATGAAAATTAATGAAAACTTAAATTAAAAACAAGTTAGAGTGCTATATTCGGCTATGCCGAATCTTAAATACCCTCCACCAGCTACTTTTTATTGAAACCCATCTAACTATCTAATTTTTAGATAACTTGCCAAAATTTTTGTCGAACTAATTTTGATTAGGTCCAAAAAAATGTATATTCGAAAATATTTTAATAGAATGATGTAGCTATACACAGAATATGGGAGTTGTGACCAATTATGGACTGATCAGGAAACAATTTAGTATATAGATTTTTATGCAGAAAAAGATCAAGTCT